TTTTTATTTGTCCAAAAACAGGTAAAGGAAGGTGAGCAGGACATCATCAACTTGCCAAACTTGAAACTTTGGGTGACTGGGGCTTTTCTGAATCAAGGTTTTGAATTGGCTTCTTGGTTCTCAGCTCAATGAGCTCTTTCTCATGCATGCATGCAACAAGAACAATTATGATTGTAGTTAATTAATTTCAAGTATCTTCTACCCCCATCCAAATATGAGTAATATTATGCCTTCGGATAATTAGTTCTATCTAATTAATTATTTGTAATACATAAAATATGCGTGTAGTCTTTTGAATAACAATAATAATGATGGGAGCTGATTTCCCCACTCCCCTTTTCTCTACTTACACTCTCTTTTACTTTTTAATACTTTTTAATCAATTTTGTTATTTCTTTTTCCTATTCTATCATTACTCTACATTAATTTATTCTTTACTTCACTTTATATTATTTATTTTTCTTTATACTTAATTTTCCAACTTACACTTCATTTTCAGTATTAATGGGGAAAAAAACTTAATTTCTTACTCGATTAAAGGAAAAAAAATACTGAAAATGTAGTGCAAGTTGGAAAATTAAGTATAAAGAAAAATAACTAATATAAAAGTGAAGTAAAAATGAAATTAATGTAGGGTAATGATAGAATAGGAAAGAGAAATAACAAAATTGATTAAAAAGTATTAAAAAGCAAAATGGAGTGTAAGTGGAGAAACGAAGAGTGGAGAAATCATATCCCATGATGATTAACGTTGTTGGGTTAGCATAATAATTAACGTTGTAAGTCAAACGTACAATGGATGATGACAAATGCCAACGCAGAGCTTAATTAATCCCCAAAGCACGGCCGCTTCAAGCATGTGTACTGGCATTGTTGTGGCTTCCCCTTGATTACCATTCAAACTCAATTTATAAATTCCAATAAAATGTTTTTAATTTTAAGAATTTATGCCAAATACTGAATTTTGACTTTATGATTGGTGCTTATGCAAGGCGATCGATCAGTAACCGTGTTATTAAGGATGAAAATATATGCCAATGCACCGATACTATCACCCGATATAATCCCTTTTGTCAAGTCGGATGAATTACAAAACAAAACAAAGTACTTGGGAGTCGACATTTCAGACTACTTATGATACAAAAGCAAGAACTGGTGAGCGAGATAATTGGCATTACTATAGGCCATCTGCTCCGCCTATAATATATAGTGAGAGACGCAAGATCGCCCAAACAGACATTTTATCCATCCACGGTAACCATCTACTGCAGCTATGCAAGCTCAATGTCGGATACGGAATGGTTAGAACACCACCATTTGCCCGTTTTAGCATAATTCGGCATGACAACCACACTGCAGCAAAGGATTGTGGGTCAGCAAGAATCCAGAGCATCTCATCATGCGCAGCTTCTTATGCAACCATAGATGAAGAGTAAACTGTCACACAACTATGGTCATATATTATCACAGAAAATCTCATGCTGACGACATTATTGATTAGTTTTTCTAATTTATTTGTTAGTTTTCCAGATTTCAGTAGGATTTATAAGTTTCCTATTTTATTTGGATTGGTTTGTTTTCCTTGTCCTGTGTGGATTAGAATTTCTGTTTTAGTAAGGGATTTTTATCCTGTTATCTCTAGGGTTTAGTTTGTAATAAATACCCCCCATGTAATTCATTATGGTAGAGTTGCTTTATTGAGTTAAAGATTAATTTTCCAGAGATTGGAATTCTAGTGCGAAGCCAAACCCCTTGGTGTGAAGCCCCAGGAGTGGTTCCACACCTATCTATTCGTTTAATTTTCTGTTTTTAATTGTTTTCGCTTCCGCTAAACTCTCTGAAAATAATTCACCTATATCCCACACCAAATTTGGCATCAGAGCTAGAATTTGGAGTCTCTTTTCTGCACACCGTGTGTCGAGTGTATGGCTCCAACTAAGGCGGGTAAGACAGACCAGCCAGAGATGGACTCTAAGAGCATCTCCACCCACAAGGGCTAAGTCTAGGGCAAGGGCAAGCAAGGGCTGCCACTATTCACGTGCATAGTGTCAGCCCTTGCATT